GAATGCTGTTGGGTGCAAGGGCGCCGAGAGGACTCCGACGAGGAGGAGGATGACGGCGACATGAAGGATTCGGACGAAGAGGCGGAGCGCGACAAGGATGCAGTCCGTGAGATGCATGAAGCCGCCAGAGGATTCGGTGATACAGTGCCGGAAAGTGTGAGACCGATTTTGGTTGACCGGCCATAACTTTTGACTAAAGTCATGGTTTTCGACACTATTTTCACGTGCGTATTGCCCGTGATGGCACCGACAAGACGCGGTGACCAAATTTTTTTTGATGAGGTCGAAGAAAATTGCATACATTTTTCAAGATAAACGTATGGAAAAAAAGACTAGCGAGAATGCTTGCTGGACTCGAACCGGGGTGTTGGGCCTGTGGGCGCCGGCGCGAATGACATCTATGCCATTGCACNATGTGGGCGCCGGCGCGAACGACATCTATGACATTGCACACGAAAACAAACTGGAACCGCTGAGTGGACATGTGCCCTTAGATACATGTAACACTAACGGTCATTTTCCTGTAATCTTTTCCAGAATTGCTCAATTACTCCTTGAGTTATCATCATATTGCCCCACGACAAAAATTCAAGGTGAAGAATCTGGAGAAATGCTTCTTTTTTTTGTTCACAGGATTTTGATTTTTTTTTAAGTTCTTCTTCACCACGCTCGGGTATGGTTCTGCCGCAGTAAAATACTTCTGAAAGAGAGCTTTGCAAATCTGCAATTTTTTTTGCGGGGTTCGCCGTAGTTGTTGAGACATGGCGATTCTTGTGGGATGAAGTGCCTTCTGCATTGATGGTAAAGGAGCCATATCTTTCTCAAAAACGAAAACCCCGCGCTGTGGATAGGCTTATTCGATCGCTGCTGGCGAGAGCTTTTTCACGAACATTTTGGTTCCGCTCAATTTGTTGAAGAAGGTTTTTTTTTTTTCAAAGCACCCGTATTCGGGCTCACACTTTCCGGCACTGTATTTCGGTGAGAACAGCTGTGCATATCGTCGCCTGCTCGCAATTTCAGACATGGTATCAGCCAATGCTTCCAGTTGGCATCAACTCGCATCGTCAGATCAGCATTTGTTGTTTTCTTGAGCCTATCATCACCATCGCATTGAGGGCCTAGTTGGAACAAACTTTTCACCCGCATCATTGTTGTGGGTTTGTCCGCGGCCGTCTCTGTGACGATGAGGCAGGATGTCGAAGGGTTTGTGTGTCATTTCCGCACCCGTGTGTGAAGAAGTCAAACTTCCACTCTCCATGTGTACGTTCCAGCGATGATTCGAGGTTTGAGAGAGCGCGTCGTGTGTTTGATTCTGNGGATGACGCCCCCTTCGTCCAAAATATTAGGGTCAACGTTCGGAGCCAAATCGCAAGCGGTCTTCGCGGGGACACAGACGACGTCATAAAGAAGGTGCGGGAGAGGGGGGACGACTTCTTCAAGGGGCGTAAAAGCTGGCTCGGCCCGCTCTGGGAAAACGTCAAAGGTCTTCCTCCTACCCCGCGCTTGATTTCCGAGGCTTGGGATGGCCACGTGGACGGCGTCACCGCGTTAAAACACCGTAAGGCTGATACTAAGGCGGCGGCAGCGTTCACCTTGGCCCGCTTTGCTGGCTGGGAGGGTAGACTTACAGCCTGGATAAATCAGCCGGAAGTGTTGGAGCAAGGGTTCAAAATGTATCCAGAAGAGAAGGCATTGCACTGCATATCCTGCATCATCAACCACGTGGAGGAGGTGGGTTGACACGGTAGGAAGTAGTAAGCGAGGAATTGGTTTGTCGAAGGGTTTGTGTGTCATTTCCGCACCCGTGTGTGAAGAAGTCAAACTTCCACTCTCCACGTGTACGTTCCAGCGATGATTCGAGGTTTGAGAGAGCGCGTCGTGTGTTTGATTCTGGGACGGTGGTGTGTTGGAGCAACAACCACCCTTGGCGCTTAGGTTTAGAGTTAACCTTTCCGATTTTTTTTTATTTAACTTGTGTTTCACGGCCATGTAGCTGAGGTACTCTCCCCGTGCCCGCGCTCCTCTCTTCGAACCGCCCCCCATCCCCTCTCGTTAATGCAGGAGTTGTACGAGGTATACGTGAAAGAGCGGAAGAATTCCGTGGCCGTGGAGCTCTCGTACCCCAGTGAAAGATACCAGATCTCAAGACCGCGCGGGCAAGTCCTGTACTACATCGCCGGGTGGGCGGCCAGCAAGGCTTGACGCACCAAGCAAGGCACAATCTTTCCCAGGATTGGGTGCGTGTCGTCCAACACAACACTCGCCGGTCCAGTCGGGGGGGGGTGTACTCATTGTCGTGCATGCCGTAGTCGTTAGACCATTGACCTCGCATCCCTACAAAGCCGGGACGGAGCACGCCGGGTTCTCACCGGACCAGGCTCTCACATCACCAAGCGCGAAGCGCCGTGAGATATTCGGCGAGTCGCATGAAGGGTGCGCTGCATCCTGCTAAGGGTGTTCGGCATCTTGTGCTTACTTCCTTGCGTACGGATGACAGCTGCGTATGAATTAATTTACTTTCTGGTGCTTTCACTTCCAGAGACAGTTGTAAGCACTGTGTAACTGCCTCGAGGGTGCTTGACCATTTTAACACAACGTGGTGCGATCATCCCCCTTGCGCGGAGTGAGGGTTCTCGACCCCGCACAACATGATCTACTCAACCACCATCATGGTTACCGCCAAAGAAAAAACGGAGGTAAAAAAAAAAACGGTAACCTGGTTGCCGAGTTCACGAAGTGATATGGCTTGTTTTACAACGTCGTTGCCAAGCGACGAAAACCCAACCCCGGTCCAGTCGGGAGGCGATATTTACTAATGTCATGCTGAGAAATTTCGTCTTGGGAGTCGATCAGAAGAACGACCTGAAGAACGGTCCAGGACTTCTTTACCCGACGATGGATTGGGCAGAGTTGTTTATGTCGTGGAGAGGGGCATCTTCCATTTTCTGGAAAACCCTATCTTCCTTGCTGCTTGCCTCGGGGAGTTGCCAGCCGAGATTTTCAAAGTCGTAAGCGAGTCGGAGGTCGTAAAGGAAATGTGGGGAAACTGCTGTCCACCTGGTCCTCCCGCCATCGACCCTAGTGTATCCCAGGAGATGTTTCTTTTCGAAGTCGGGAAGATCCTTGACGTGCGAATGGGTGACTACGCGAAGAGTGTACCGGAGAATACTTCCCTCAAGTTCACGAAGGCCGCGCTTGGTTTACGGCAACAGCTAAACGCACAGGTCAACACAAAGGGACGGGCGGGTGGAGGGGCCGGTAGTGGCGCAGTAGAGGGAGGTGCACAGGGGGACGGGGCCGCTGGAGGGGGTAAGGGGGACCTTGCTTAGCGCCGAAAGGGGGGGCGCGCGCCAAGGCAAGCCCCGCCCACCCTCGACCAGCTGAAGGGGATGTCCAGGGCAGATATTAGGGACAGATGCACTACAATGCAACTTGTGCTCACGAAAGCCGCAGAGATTCCGAAGGGCACTGTAAACTCAAGAAAAGAGGATCTCCTGGAGACGTTTGTGTGTGGGTTCAGGCAGGAACCGGTTGGAGGGGCAGGCCCCAACGTGACGGGGACTGGGCTAGCCGGAGGAGGATGCGGGGGGCGTGGTTGTGAGAACGCGGGTGAGGGCAACACCTTGACAGGTAGTGGGGAGATGGCCTCTGCCGGTGGTGATTTGACGACGGAAGAAGTTCCTACGCAGGACCGGATGGACCACGACGTTTACCTTTCCCGACCGATTACAATGGATTTCTCACTGTCTGTTTTGGAGGGGGCGGGTGTGTCTTGCGGGAGTGGTTCTTGATCAAGTTTCCAAGACAGAAGGTGAAGGTTGGGCTTGGGTGGCGCCGGCTTTCGTTTTCTCACACTGTACTTCAATTGATCATAACTGCCATCTGATTTGTGTGCGTGTCGAACTTGGCGTTCCCTCACGGTTTCCCTCTGCTCACCACAACGCCCGCCGGTGCGTTACACATCTCAACCGCTCCTCTTCCTCCCTCTCCCCCTCCGCGTTCCCCCCCCCCTCCTTCTCCCCTTCCACATCGCTTTCCTTCTCCTCTTCCACGTGAAAAGCGCTTTGGGCCTCCGCGCCCTGCCGCTCCGTCTTGCACCGGCAGACCCATCCCCCCACGTAGGCGACCACGTGGCGAAGTAGTCCGCGAGCTCCTTGTTCCCAGCCCCGATGTGGTCAAAGTACTCTTCAAAGAATTTCACCACACCAGCCGCCCCTGCGATGAGATCGCTACGTTGCTCGGACATCCTCATGGCGTTCTTCGCCACACCGCCGATCCCGTCGTGGCAGCCTTTGAAGTGAGAGGTGGCCGCAAAATGGTGTTCGACGATAAAGCCAAGCTGCCGCACACTGTCAGCCAGAAAACGGAAGTTGCGCCTCCCCTTGTACTGCTTGGCGCACCCGTCCGTGAACATGTGCATGCGGGGGATCCGTTGGGCTTCCCGAGCGGCGGCAGTTGCATCACTTCCGGGCCCATCCAAGTAGTAGTCGGCAATCTGAGTTAGCGCGTGGCGGTGAAAGTCGAAGTCGTGTGCAGGGTCCTCCGAAGCAAAAATCCATGTCTCGGTCTGGTGAACCCTTCCGCCGCCCTCCCACAGCTGCGGACTGAAGTGTACAATAGCCACCATGAGCGTGGTTTGGGGATGCCGCGCGCAGAACCACCCCCACAGCAAGGCTATCACCACATTACACTCACAACCGCTGAAAAACAATCATGGAAAACGATGGAGGTCAACGTACTCATGAGAAGGCTGGCCCGGTTCAGTTGCCGGGTGTTCATGGCAACATGAGTCCTCCGGCGAGGGCCGCTCCCCTCGCCAGAGTTTCGGTGAACACACAGCACGAAGGCCAAGGACCTCCTCCTCCTGCTACCGCTGCCCCGCGGTTAAGTGATACGCGTCGCAGTCATCAACGGAGTCGATCGTCCGCGACATCGATGACCCGGAGCATGGTCCACAGGACGCACGCGCAGCAGCTCCTCACGCTCCCACGCCGCTTGAAGCATCCCTAACTCCATCACCTCCGTCTCCGCCTGTGCAGCACTCCTAAGATCTAGACTATGCCGCTCGCAGCATGTGTCACTCAAGAGCATGTTGAACGGTATGCTGCGGTCCAAATGGCGCAAATGCACCATATCGGCAGCATGCATTGCACCGGTTCTGGCGTGCAGTGACGACTGTCAACTGTCTTGCGGTACTGTAGCTGGCTCGCCATGGTAGTGTGTATCACGGCCGAGGTGTGGGTGCATAGCTAGCCTCACGGGCTGGTGCGGCATGTGTCTGGACAACGTCGGGAGTATGTCGGGGAGTACAGGCCAACCAGAAACTGTTCCCAAGAAGATAGATTCGAGCAAGATGGAATTGATCTTTTATGCGGTCTTTGAGGGCAATTCGTAAAAGCGAAAGATCAAATTCCTAAAGATCCAGCGGTCTTCGGCGCTCGGGTGGATAAATAAGATCGAAATCAAGTCGAATTCCGATGTTCGCAAACACCGTAATGACACGACACTTTGATCGCAGCTCTACTAGACTTAAACATTACCACGACAAGACCCTTGGCATCAACACAAACACGTACGCGGAGGGTTAAATTTTCACCCTCCGCGTACGTGTTTGTGTTGATGCCAAGGGTGTTGTCGTGGTAATGTTTAAGTCTAGTAGAGCTGCGATCAAAGTCGTGTCATTAGAAGCATATCGGGGGATCGGGGGTGCGTTTCCCTCCGCGTACGTGTTTGTGTTGATGCCAAGGGTCTTCTTGTCGTGGTCATGTTTTAAGTCTAGTAGAGCTGCGATCAAAGTGTCGTGTCATTAGAAGTTCTGACCCTACGAGGACAACAAGGGAGAAGACTCCTGGTGGGTCAGACTGGCCTCATGTGGGTGTCTCTTCGTCCCCACACATGTCCACCAACTCTAAAAACCTACTATCAACATCCAACTCTGCTGACAGCCCCTCCTTGCATTCCGAGAATCTAAGATTCTATCCAATCCTCTCAAAAGACCTGTAAAATCTCTCAAACATGTTGTTGTTGTTGTTTCTCACATTACCGTAAGAATCGGGGTCTTCGCACGGATCGGCGTCTCCGCACGGGTCGGGGTCATGGCACAGAGGTGCGGAACAAAAACCGGGTTCCACATGATTTAATTCGATTATGCCGCTCGTGGCACAGCAACTTAGGCGCTCTCACCCGCACTGAGAGTACCGCCAACATCCCTAGCACGACAGACACACCCGGGCAAGGATCATCTACCCAAACACCCTCGCCCCATCAGCAGTATCGGCAAACGACCACACCTTCCTCATTTACCACTGCTGGCGATCCGTCCTCGCCCTACCACTGACACCCCCAAAAGCAAAAGGGTGGGTGGGTGGGAAAGAAATAGATCTCCTCCGAAATACCTCTTGGCTGCAGCAGCCTCCCTCGTGCTTCCTTGGGGCAGACCAACAAGTGCTCCCAAGTCTACTCTTCTGGTCAGGTTTCAGACACTTCACGCTGACTCCATGCTGCTGCACTCTGATTGGCCAACAGATATTTCATCTTCCGCTCCTCACAAAACTCAGATTTCAACGCCTCTGTCTCTGCAATCTTCTGCTTTGTTCGTTGCTTTCGAAATTGCATTAATTGGTCGTACCCCCCCACGCTTGAACAGGGGGGGGAGAGAAGAGCGGAACTCGGGGATCTCAACCTATCCCCGTCCACAACACCATCAGTATAAACCAGTCACCGCACCATCAGGCATACTCTCAAAGTCATGCCTGCCCCCAACCTAACTGCGGACTGGTTTCCATACTGATCTGTACTCTCTCTCCCCCCCTACCGTGGTTCCCACTCTTGTACCGACCAATAAACCCTGATCGCATTCACTCCCCCCTCCTTTTACGGCTCGCCCTCACCAGCCTCGGGGACTACGTCACCCCACTCTGTACCCTGTCCTGGTTGCCTCTCTGAATCACCCTCCGACGCCAAGGTACTAGAAACCCACTCTGCATCTTTCCCATGGTTCCTTACGTACGGCCGATACCCCGATTCCCCAGTCCATCTCCCCTCTCGTCTCAGAACTTCTGGCGACGCTCCCCCCGCTGCCAAGTACGTGGCGCCCCCAATCCGAAGGGAGTGCAACGCGTACTCGGACGACGGCAGACCCGCCAACGACACGACTTGCCGCAGCGCTTCCGTCGCGTGACGACGAGTCCACACGGACCATCGCCCCTCCCCGGTTCCGAACGCGACTAACGGAGCAGACGAAGGGAGAACAGGGAAGCATGAAAGGAGTTCAATCATCACATCGACTGCACCCCCCCCACACTCCACAGACTGGGGAGGCCCCGGCCTCGCCCGCGTACACACGGCGCCCTTCCGAAACTGGTCGCCTTTGGACGACCGAAACCGCACCTCGACTCTGTCGGCCTCTCCCCTCCGTTCCGGAGGCAACTGGCGAGAACCCAAAAAAAACGCCACGTCCCCCCGACGCAACCCATGACAAGAATCCATGGCCAACGAGGACACAGCGAACATTTCGCATGCCCGCATCAAGAAAAAAAATGACGCACTCAACGCCAGAAACAACACGCGCCCACCCGTGCCCCACTGTGGCACCAGACGCCCCCCTTCCTTCAGCATCGACCACGACACCGGACGTCGCACCCGTTGCTGCGCACCAACACCCGCATGCCCTCGCGCCACCCCTTTGAGCGCTTGCTTGATCAAAGAATGACATGTATCAACTTCCATCGCATACGCCAAACGATGAAAAAATTTAACAGCAGACAAATGACCAGCTATCGTCGTCTGCCTCAAGCCCAGCACCGTGAACGCGTATGCCACGTACTCCAACAATTGCGAAACAATATCCGGCGATGGAGACGACGGCATCATAAACGCCGGTCTCCCCACAACGTCCTCTCGAAACTTCACCCACGCTCCAAAAAATCCCAGGTAAGTTCGTTCAGACGATGGCGCAAGTGCGTGCCGGACGAGCTCGAAGCCAGCACGGTGGAGCACAACTCGCGCTCCTTCGGGCCTAACTCCACGATCTGCCAGGCCACATGAGGGGAGGCAGAGCACAGGTTATCGTGAACGTCGTTAGTATTCCAACGGGAGATACCATCAGCAAGCGAGTTGAGTATGCCGGGAACATGGGTCGCGTGGAAATGCCACCCGCTGGCTACCTCCAGCGCCCCCAGTAGGCGCACCAGCGCCCCCGATCGAGGCTCAAGGCCCCCCCGACAACGCTCAATCCACGCCGTCGCTGCTTCATTGTCTCCTCGAAGGCGCACACAATCACCCGCCTCCACAGGCTGGTGACTTCGGCCCAATACCAACATCCATGCCCCCATGACCATGCCAAGGAGCTCTAACACGTTGATGCTGACATCATGAACCCCCTGGACCGATTTGCTCGACCCTACAAAACAAGCTTGCTCTTCCACAGACAGATCATACCGAAAGTAGTGGCCCATTTGCAAACAATACCCTCCAATTGCTTGCTTAGACGCATCGGTGAACACGGATAGTGCAGGCGGGCGTTCCAAAATATTGTACATGGGTGCACACAAACTTTCGCCGCGCAACGAGAGACCACGCCTGTGGAACCACCGCCAAAATTCGAGGTCATCGTAGAATAATGGACCCAGCACTACGCGTCTGTTCGGGTTTGGCACTTGGGACGCGAAAGTAGACGAAGCGGGCATCCCGACCGCGGATAAAAGGCGCCCCACAAACAACTTTCCTGGCCGCAACACGAACGAAACGTGCATAAGAAACCCTGTAACTCGGCTACTTGACGAGCTGTAGCGACTTTCCGCGTCGCGGGCCACGCAGCCAATATGCGTCCCAGTTTCTGCTGTTTCGTGTCGGTCATAGTAATCGTGAGTTGCTGAGTGTCCAATGTCCAACCCAACACATCCAAACGAGTAGCGAAATCTGTGATCGTTCCTTGCGACAACCACGGTGGGTCTGCTGGGCCTCTCTCTCCCAGCAGACGAAAGTGATCCGTAGCGAGAGAACGCACCGCGCGCAAACATCGGCGGCCATCAGCGAAAAATCTCCCTTCAATCAACACGCCATCATCAACGAAGTATCGCACGAAAAACGGAGAACCAGCAAACGCCCCGTCGCCCACAATAGTCTGGCAATCAACAGGTAACGGCACCGCTGTACTTTCGTCTGGTGGGGACACTACTTGAACATGCTGCACAGCCGCAGCACCGGCGGGAGAGACGGACGCGTCTTGAAATGTAGTGTGTGTGTGTGAGTGTTCCAACGCGGACGAGAACAAGGACCAAAACCCTGGGCTCGACCGCCATCCAAATTGACACCGTAGGTCAACAACCGCGTGATCGCCGAT